CATGAAAACTTAAAAATTGACCAACTTTCAGTGATTTTCATTGACTTACATGCCTGGGAGAAACATTCATGTCCAGTTGAAAATTAAAATGAAATTATACGAGCAGTTAGATGTAAGAAATTACTCAACGTTTCAGACTGACTAACTTTTCAAAACTGTCATCCAGAGAGTTAGACTAGACTTACAGGCGCCATTTCAAGTCCAGAGCAAAGACTTTTTGAGTTTGTGAGGAAATAAAAACTTCAATTTATTGTTCAATAGTAGTCAGGGTTAAGTTAATAAAATCAAAGATTATCTTCTTAACCGCCATTTAACAAGAAATAAAAGTACTTAAGATCAAATTTAATTTTTCATAGTTTCTATTGTTTAGTGTCACTTAAAACTGTTTATGCTCGAAATGGTGACATTCAAAAATTAACTTGAGTCTGCCTCTTTTTTGTTAACTTAACCATGACTCCTAGTGCAGTTGTTTCCGAGGCTAAGAAACAAGAACAAGAAAAATTGGTAACAGTCTAGTAACACGGACACAAGGAGAAGCATTGATTTAACAACATTAAAACCAATCACAGTAAAGACGCTCATGTGTTGATTTTCATAGTTTTTCATAACAATGATATTTTAACTAAAATTCAAATGTTGAATCAGTGGACAAACAAATTGACCAGTAAGCCGCTTCAGAATTAGCTTTAACATCTATCTCTATTGAGTTATTCTCAATTTTTACATTTAATTGATTGATATTAAATTCAAACAGATTGTCTCGATTGGTTACTGATTTAAAAGTCTTGCTAGTTACGCGTTGCGTCCGTCGTATTTTGCCAGAAAACTGACCAGCAAATTAAGAGAGTAGGTATGGTTAGAATCTGATAAAGTGTTTAATTCTGTTGGTCATAATGAAAATAATGAAAATAGTTTGTTACTGAACAATGTTGACAACGCAATCGTCCTTTTCCAGTCTATTTACACGGACACAAGTTGCAACTAACAAAGCTTTCAAAACATTGATAAGATTCTCGGCCCCAAGGGGCCTCGCGTCTTATGCATGAATATCTTTCAATGTAGTGTTATAACACATACTAATGAATAATTGAGTCTTGTTAGCATTTTGAGCATTTATTTTATACTGTCTTAATGGAATCTAACAACTTTAAAGTCCTTTTACATGCAGACACCCGTATGGATTTTGTTTAATCAACTTTTGTTAATGACTAGTGTTCGGAATGAATGGGATCCGAGAGTTAAACCAACGACATTTTCGGCAAATCCTTCAATAGTCAAGTTGACAGCATAATCATTACTGTTAACGGTAATAACAACAAGTTGATTTTCTTCAGTTTTAAATACAGTTGATCTAACATTGTCATTTGGATTAGTAACTTTAAAACCTAATCTGGTTGATCCTGGTTTCAAAAATTTACTGAAATGAGCCAGTGCATAGTACATCGGTTGCTTATAATATTCTTGTTTTTCAGCATTCACAATTATCGGGGAATCGACAAACATAGATACCCAATTAGGTCCACCAATCATGTCAAGAGCAAGATTCCAATCAACCCAACCTGAACTCCAATGATTCATATTTCCAACTAAATCATTTGCATATTCTTCACCTCTGCTCCATAAACCTAATTTCACTGCGATTGGAGAAAAAAAGTTAGAAAAAGATATTTTGTTTTTCGAATTACAATGTTATATTGATTAGACAGAACAAAAATCATTTATTACCTGCTATGCCATCATAGCCCAAACCAGTACATGCTTCAGTCGATAGCATGAAATAATCAGGGAAAAATTGATGAGTTTTGTCGAATTGGTCGAAACCAAACAGCTTATTCTCATACCAGTGAACAGCAATACCAGAAACATATTGTGATGCTTCGTAGTTACTAAACACTCTCGATGCATAAAGAAATAGCAATGATACATTGTCATCAAGTATCAATAATTTAAGCTTATCCTTGCCATAACCAGCAGCTTTGAGGATTGGGCCAAGATCTTTAGCTATCCATTTAGTCATTTGTTCAGGAGATATTCCAAGACAGTTGAAAGGGTAATCAGGTTTAAAACCAGCACTTGGTTCGTTCAAAGTAGTTATTCCCCAAAACTCAACTCCATGTTTCTTATATTCGTCTAGAAATCTGTAGAGTAAGAAAATATTCAGATGGTTAATATCAATAATCAATATAAAAAAATTTGAATGAATAAAGTGTAGCATCAAAAGGGATAAAAGGATAATGGAAGAAGATTTCCGAAAAGGGATGTGAAAACTTGAAAATAAAGTAGTTGCTAACTGTAGTATAAGGAGTGGTCCCTAAAAAATTGGACTAACTTTGAAGCGAATTTCAACCATGTTAAGTTTCTTCGAATAAAGGATTCTATAGCTCAAATTGACAAGAATTTCATGGACTTTTCAAAAATATCGTTTTTGTGAATCAAAACATTCAATTAAATAGCGCAAAATGGCTTCAAAAGAATGATAAGTGAAATTTAACAGTTCAGTTTTGTAAAATCCCTATGAAGTTAGCTATCAAGCTATGAACCAAATAGTGCTTACAATCACTTTCAAAACTCAGAATTTCTTGATTTACTGCTCCAAAAGTTATGAAAAAAGCTGATATCGGTATGATAGGTTTGCGGATACCGAGATCAGGTCAAAAAGTCGCTAAAATTTCACCTTAAAAAATTGCTGAGCTCTAGAGAGAGATGAACTGAAAAATTTGGATGACGCGCTATTCAAGTGGCCTTTTCGGTCAAACTGCTTAAAATTACTGAAAGCTGATGGACAAGGCCTATTAGCTGTCCTTAATGAATGTATTTCTATGATTTCAGCGACAATTATGCAACAGTTTGCAAGTTATAAGCATTCAAAGTCTGTCCAATTTTTTAGGGACCACTCCTTAAGAGTAACTATTAATCTATCTCAAAATTTAAGAGTGACAAATAATAGATACTTTACCATATAACTGGCCATTGGTTTGTAATAAGCTTCTCCTGGATCACCAATCAAGATTCCTGTACCATTTATCCTTTGTTGATATTTCATCCAAGCTGGAGGTGACCACATACTGCCAAATAATTTCAAGCCTCCAGAAAAATCATTTGCTAGTTTAATATAAGGAATCTGTAGTTAAGGTGTAAATAATGGAAAGATATTGGAAAAAATTGAGTGTCAGAAGTGGATTCGTCATTTACGGCATAATAATTTACCTTGTATACTAAATCCTCCTCAACCAGTGCAAAATGAGTCCAGTTCAAATCTTGGTAATCATCTTGATAAGTGTAAGGACGAGTTGAAAAATCAGCTCCACCAATTGTTACTCGACCCATGTTATACTCCAATCCATCTTTACCAAAATAATCTCGAATCAGGTCCAAGACTAATTTATCTGGAAGTGATTTAACGTATGTAAAGTAAAAATGGAAATGATTTTCAAACTCTTATAACTCAGGAAATAAGTATCACAGATCTTTAATTTTTTCAACACTTTGAAAGAGCAATGTAAGCTAGTGGATTAAAGCATTTAATCCCTCACGGTCAGCTTTAATCACTTTGGATTTAACATTTTCAATTAAATTAGTGAAGTAAATTGGATCGTATTTTCTGAGAACATTTCTGATCCTATTAATTAAATCCTTTTTGCATTTCGGCAACCAACCATCTGAATAGACTTTGCATTTAAGATTTGCCCAAAAATCTTCAATGGGCCTTAATTGTGGACAATTAGGTGGGTTGTCATCCTTTTTTACATAGTTGACACTGGCGCCCTCTAGCGTTTCGAGCGATGTTCGAGCGTAGTGACAGCTCGCTAGATCAGGCCAAAAGAGTATTTTTTTGTTTTTATAAGTGCTTTTGAGCCAAGGGATGAGTCGCTTTCGTAGACACTCTTTTGCATATAAATCTGCGTTCAATGCACCCTTTGTAAGATGAAAATAAGGTTTGCAAAATCCCTTAGTACCAATTGCAATCCAAACCATTAACTTAGGGCCAAATTTCGATTGTTGACGATACCTAACATCATCAGGACAGTTTTCCAATGCCTTGAATGCACAACGATCAGAACCATAGAAATTGAAGCCTTCCAAATCGAAGTAACTCTCATCGTCCAAAATCAATTCTTGATCACCAATCTCCATCCTCAATCGACGAATTCGCGTTTTTTGTCGTTGCTTTTGTTCTGGAGAAACTTTAGGCACTTTTTTTCTTTTAGCAATTTTGATTTCAGCTCGTTCGATATAACTTTTAGCTGTTGGTTTGCTCACTCCGATAGCTCTTGCAACAGCTGCATAACCACAGAAAACTTTATCGACAACCATTTTTTCGATTTTTTTCACATTCGAATTGTTGAATTTAGAGGCTGATAATCCTGATCCTGGTTTCCTACCATTGTTTCCAATACTTAACTTAGCATATTGACGATATGCAGTGGTAGTTGGTACACCAGCAGCAATAAATTTAGCGATAATTTCACTTCGCGCTGATTTGTCTTCAAACTTTTCATAGATGTTCGCACAAATTTTAAAAACTTCATTTTGCTTCAACTTCAACATCTTGAGTTCTGGTGCAGATATTGCCCTGATTTTTCATATTTATACTCTGAATACCCTAAAGAACATATGTTGAAAATTTTGAGCTAATCCAATTAGTGCATCTTAAGATAATCCAATTCAAAAATCATTTCCATTTTTACTTTACATACGTTAATGTTAATTCCAGCAGCATCGGTAAAAGCACCACCAAAACCAATAATTTGTTGATAAGTTTCGTTAACATTTATGGATAGTTTAATGGAATCAGCTGTAACTGTATTAACAAGCGTCTTAGGATCTAATGTATCTTTATGGAATCGATGCTCATCTCTATCAGATACATAAGAGTAAATTAACCCTTTTGGTGGATTAGTCACTGGTTCAAATGAATCACATTCAAGTTCATTGCAAACACAAACGAAAGAATCTTCTTTGAATTTTCTTTTATGGCAACCATCAGTTTTAACTGTATTGATGAAAAGTAACAAAACTATTGTACATGGAAGTAATCTATCCATGGTTTAACTCGGCGAAATCCAAGTCAATTAATATCTTGGATTTGAAAAAGTTCCAGCAATTTATACCCAAATCACTGACATAATCTCATAATGATTGATCTTTAATTGATCTCACGAAGAGTGAGATAAGAATTGAAATTAACTGGAATTCAAATTGTGATAGTCAGGCAATAAAATAATACTATCGTGGAATCAAAGGATCATTGGCTAAGTCAACTAGGTTAATATCAATGCTTTATCGAGGCCATAATTATAACTTATCACTGTATTTAATTGTCTCAATCAGAATAATTCTTATAATATTTATATTTAAAGTTACAATCAAGATTTTGTAACAGTTTGATAAGGTTTCAAGAAAGAGAGCAACAAATCTTGATTACATTGAACAGCGTATCTAAATCTTGGTGATTAGATCTAAATCATCTGTATTAGTTGTTTAAGCTTGAGATGGATGCAGCTCAAATTCATAAATAGAATTAACAATCCCAAAGGCTCAAAATGCAATGTTTTTCAAAATATAATAACTTAACGCATTGCCATAGACGCATCCAAAGAGTAAAGGAGAAGAGTCTGCAATTCAATGGTGAGTTTTTTTCTGGTGTCAGAAGATGGCGCGAGAAAGTGACACTTTCTTTTTACTTTCTTTTCAATTTTTTTTACTCTATTTTCTCTTTCATTTCTCTTTCTTTTTATAATTCAAAATTACATTACAGTGAAACCTCAGTTATTTTATATTTTAAGCGCCATCTACTAATAATGATCAATGGACTCAAAAACAGGTGCAAGAGTAAATTATATCATTAGTGAAAATGTCTCGTCTGTGTCTCAGAGAGAAACAATTAATAATTAGTTCCTATGATAATGGTGATAAACAAGATACTTTAACCAAACATTTCAATGTTACTCAGCCCGAAATTAGTTATATTTTAAAAAAACGTGATGAGGCGAATAATGTAGATGAGAAAAAATTAAACAAAAAACGATTGACAAAACGACCCTACAGTAAAGAAGAAAGTGTTCTTATGGAATGGATCGAGGATTCCAACCAGCTAAATACCGGGCGTTTCTTTTCATTTTACGCCTTCAAGCAGGCATAACTCCCGAATGGTTAGTGCTAAAGACCTCAGACTTGAACCATGAGCTTATTCAGATTGCACAACCATAAGTACGAACGCTCAAGGTTATTCAAGGTCAAGTCTTTATTTGACCCTCTAATTGAATTGGAAATTTGGTCTTTTTCTGAATCGCAAA